GAAATTCATTATTATTAGTTCTTTAATTATACAAAATTCTATTCATTTTGTTTTATACTTTCAATATATATTCAATACTTCATCATTATTGAATTATTAAATATTCTTTCAATCTTTTTTATGAATTTATCTGTAAATTTATCTTAAATCTATTACTTTCATTTCTATTTTTTAAATTCTTTTATATCTTCTCATTAAACTATTATTATCATTTTTTTTTATCATATTCATTTAGAATTTCAAAGATTGACATAAAAGTTTTTTGAACACAGAACTGTTTTTTTTATCAAACCAATTTATATTATTTATTCAATTTAACATAATTGTTGAAGAATCTTAACTAATATGGAATTTCAAAATTCAATTTTTCTAATTTTATATTATTACTATTACTACTACTTCTTTAATGCTAAATATAAGATCAGTTTTATATGATTTTATATGATTTTTAATTTTATTCGATAAATTAAATTTCATTTAATCTAATCAGCTTATATTGAAACAATCGCACATCTTATTTTAAGTAGAGGTACCAATTAACCTATAATCTAACCTAACTTTGATTGTAATCATTAATCGAAGTATAATGAAGTAACGAAATTAAAAAAATCACTCTGGATATGCAATATCTTAAGTCCACGGAAAGAAACCAGTTCCTCAGGGCGAAAAATTCCACGCGTGTCGTAAACTGGTGCTGACCGTGCTAAATATAAACGGGAAAAGGAGGAAAACGTAGCTGTGAAGTTCGGTGATGCACCTGTGAATATTTAGTGTACACCAGCTGTTTCTTGGCCGACAGGTGTCTAGGCGAAAATTACAATTTACAATTGAACACATATATGATTTTAATTGTCAGGAGAATTCTTTTTTTTTTTACAATTTTGAATTTATTTGCACAATATGAATTTCATGTTTTTATTAAAAAAAAAATTTTTATAATTTTAGATCATATTCGATAATTTATAAACTATATTTATGATTTTTAAGAGAGATCATAAAATATTTTTTTATAGTTCAGATTCACAAAAAAATAAAAATAAAAACAAAAAATTACAATTGCTCTTCTTCCAACTCATGACACACACAACGAACATTCACAGCTCGTTAACATGGTGAGCCACTCTTGGCTACCGTATAAAGCATGAACGGCAGCGGTACTCTGATCAGCGTTGTCGATGATGGAGAATCTCAGATAGATAGAGAGACGCCTTCGGCACCGAGGTTGAAAAGTTTGAGTTCTCTTTGCTATGCGTGAAAGAAGCATAAGAGATTCATCTGCATAACAGTTAATGATTCCGGTACACGATGTGCCTTGTACCGGTTACTACACGATGTTACCGCGTGCGCGCGCATGCGCATATTGAACCGAGATTGTGGCGGACAATCGCAAGCCACCTGTTTGCTAGAATCTGATGAACAATTCTGTTATTTTATATCTCTGATGGTTAAAATAATTAAGAAGTTACCATTTTGTTTAATATGGAGAAAAGAGATTTTTTTTTTTTTATCAAAAATAAATTTTTTTTGGATCTGACACAATTGGACTATATATTTGGAGGTTATGTTTAAATTTTAAATAAAATGATTATTAATTTTTTATAAATTGAAGACTTAGAGATTATAAATTAAAAAATGTTGCTATAAAATTATGAATTTTACTCCTGCTGATTCTAAAACATGATTGAATTATTATAACATTATTAACATTATTAAAACATTGAATTATTATAAGATATATTATATTCAAATTTTTTTCAAGAATTTTAGAAATTTTTTTTTAAAGTTCTCATAGAATTTTCAATTCTTCTTTGAATAATGGACTTTTGAACTGATAGAAATAGATAATTTGCAATGACAAAAAATTGATTGAAGAAACCTTTATCCTTTTCAAATGAAGGAAATATCTGGAAGAAAGATGAAGTGAACATTTGATTGAAATCCTGATGGTGAGGCAATTGTTTTTGCTCATTTTCTTGAAATAAAATAAATGATATCAAATGATATAAAAAAACATTATAATTATCAATTTATAATATTTCATATTATTTTATAATTATTGAATATGATAATTAATTTAAATTTATTTTATAAACTTTAAAATAATGATTTTAAAGTTAAAAAGTATAAATCAAGGCTTTATCTTACTTAAAGTTTCAAATTGTTTCAAATTAAAAGCATTTATAAATTTTTTGAACTTAACAAAAACTTTTCATTAGGAACAAAACCATGATGTGATACTAAATTACCCAATAAAAATATTTTTCCATGAAATTCTTGGAAGAAAATATCCTGATTGAATCGAAAAGAGATGTTATATAGTTATTTTTTGAGTTAAATTAAGCCACCAATTTCGATCAAGTATCCTTTTAATCGACGAATTAGAATCAAGCCAATATCTTTATAGCAACTTACCGTGTCCTCGATCGTTATGAACCTAATCTCTATCGATGTTTCTTTTAAAATAGCCATAATCGAATATCCAATAAAGATTATTCGAAGTACATACATTTATAGAAGAATCTCAACTTTTAAATCGCAGTCGACTTTTACAATAATGTGAAAAGCAAACAGAAAATGAAATTTACAAACTACAACAGCAGTTCAGATGAGATTATAAAGACCCAGACTATTAACATAGACATGATTTAAATTCTCGAATATGATATGGTATATAATAATTCTTTTCAATTTGATAAATAAAGACTTCAGTTACAGAACAAGAAGTGGATCTAATTGTTTAATTATTAGGTAATATACAAAAATTTCTTTTCTCAGTTCATTTGAAAACTTGACTTAATAAGCAAGGAAAGCAGACAATTTCAAGTAAAAATTAAGTAATTATTAATTAGAAACAATAAACTTATTAATAAAAATAAAAAAGTAAAAATAATATATAAATAGTTTTGCTTTCATCATTGTATAACACAGAAATCTTATACATCTAATAAGATATTCAAAATATATTATAAATTTTATTGCTATTAGATATAAATTTTAAACCAAAACTTTTATTGCTTTTAATAGAAACATTACTTCTTACATTCTATAACATATTATCAGGAAATAAAAAGGATAGAATATCTATTAGCCAAAAAGTCAGATCAATCTTATGATTTCGTTTTTTAATAGAAACAGAGAAGCCAAGTGAATACTCAAGAATATTTGAAATTAGTTTTATTTTAACCTCTAAAAAAATCTTCAACATCTTTCTTTATCATAAAAATTCTACTTTCTCAATGATTATAAATTTGTTTTTACTTTTTTCTATACTTTTATATTCTATACTATGATACACAAAACTATGATACACATTCATCAAAAAAATAAACATGATTTCTCTAGTGTTATTATTACAAACCTATATTTCTGGAATTACTTTGAAAAATTATCCAGATAAAATAAAGAGAAAGGAGGGTAGAGAGATTTTTGCTAATTCATAACTTGTGATTGAGTGGAATAGAAGATTGTGGAATGTTGAAGAATATGATAACGATGACTAAGCGGCTTAACTCTTATTGATAGCAAATAGTCCGTATCATTACGATCCTGAAATCGATTCCGGAAAAAGACTCGTTCCACTTGGATTACATAAGAATTTCTATTCCAAATCATTGAGCAATGAAGCGTTAAAAATAATTCAAAAGTTCCTATATATTTTTCTCTTCATTTGAAAAAAAATTTCATATATATGTATATATACATATCAATAATTGATAATAACTTTTAATTGGAAACAAATGAAATAATTTAAAGTAATTCACCTGAATATAAAATTTCTATTGTATCGAGATATAATAAATGGCAAATTTAAAATCTGCTTATTATACTTTACCAAATTGATTAATTAACTATCAGATAATTAACCTTATATTTTTTGGTCAGATATTTAAAATATGCATACCATAGATAATCAATTACCAAGTTTGAAAGTTTTTTGCAACTCTCTTGAGAATAATTACATTACTAATTAAGTTTGAAATTTGATAATTGAATGTGAATTTATTATACAATTATTATTAATTAAAAAATAAAATCTGAAACTGTTTATTAATGTTGAAAAAAAACTATAACTAAAATAATTATTTAAATAATTAATATACATATGTAAAATATAAATCCAAACATAGATTCCTATAAAATATGAAAATAAATGAATTTTTATAACTTGACTTCCTATTAATTGACCAAATTACAATTGATCAAATAATACAATAATTTTACACGTTAATGAATTCGTACTCATGCGTTTGTTCGAGTGCAATAAAAGATACAATAAAACAATCGTCGATCCACGAAGTAAAATGTTCCGGTTTTATCGAAGCTATCTGCTTAATGGTCGATTAATAACCAATTAACATCGCATTTTCAAGTGAACCAGTCAGTTAACGATCAGGCAAGAACCATTATCGTGTTTCTTAGGTAAGACGAGGGCATCAAGAGGATATACTCCAGAAAAACGGCAGCGTCATTACGATGAACATTTGCAACCACTTACAGTGAGCCTGCGGGACATCGCCAACAACGGACAGTTTACTTCTATAGTACAGTTTGCGTGTCGTTATACAGTGAAATTGTTATGGATAAATTTTATCATTTTTCTGTTACAAGAGATCAAATTTGAACAGTTTATAATAAAATCTGTAGATGAAATAGAATGAATGAATATTTAACATATAATAAATCACTTAAAGAAATATTTTTATTTAAGAAATTAAAAGTTTACTTTTCAATAAGATAAAATTTTATAAATCTAATATTTTTACATCAGATTTCAAGAATTTAGTTTAAATTATTTCCATTTATTTCTAAAATCAAATATTAATTATATTATAACATATACTATAAAAATATTAGTTACGTTACAATGTTGTATATATTATTGCATATAAAATCAAAATTTATGAAAATTTTAATTAAAGCAATACTACTAATTTTCACATTATTAAACATTATAATCCCTCAAAAAAATTGTATCATCACTTAAAGAAAAGAAAGAATTGAATAGCGCTGAAATCAAAGAAAATCAATGTTAATCTTCAATGTTTCGAGTAAACCACTTAAACCGCACTCAATTTTCCTCAACTAATGTCTCCGTGTTCCTTAAGAACGTTCACGCGAGACTATCGATGCGAGGCGATAGTGTTGCAGCAGATTGTGGCCTCGGGGTGCGGTTGTGGTCGCAGCACGCACAGGCCCTCGTGGAATGATGCCGGACCGACATGACTGGAGTGCGCGCGCGTACTCAAAAGGGGCCTCTTGGCGAGGCGTCGGGCCCTGACACGCCACACATATTAGAAACGAATATAAATATATCGAGAGACTCGGCAGGCATCGCGGCGCAATAGTGGGGATAGACGAACGCGTATTGGTGGCATGGAAGTTACACACAGTGCAGCGGCGTAACAACCTGAGTTCGAGAACGGGCCTTCGTTCTCCCTCCCTTGAGGCGGCTTTCTAGCAGCCGGCAGCCGCCCTTGCCCCGCACCTCTCCTGCTCCTAGCGGTCCCATAGCATGCTCAGTGTCCGCCCGGCCTCAGCACGCCCGAGTAGGAAGGACGAGAACGTCGCTTCTAGAAGCTTTTTAATGCGATCACTATACTATTGCCAATTAACCGCGTGGACCTTTAATCACCTTTTTCTCTCTCATACATTCGCAAGTTTTGTGTGTATTTCAGCCTGAAGATCAATTAAAATTAAGTGTATCCAACGAGAAGATTTTTGATAATTTGTGTTTGACAGTTAATCGTTGTATTCCACTTTTGTGATACCATTTTTTTGTAACAGGATTAAAATCATTGTTTTATGAGAAATTATTAGCAACTTTGGACCATATGGATCCAGTGATTAAGATTGGGTTAAAGATATTTGAGATTTCGATTTATCAGGCTGGTCTCGAAATAGACTGACACGTCGCGTGTCAAAGCTTGTGAAACAAATACGATCGACTAGAGAGGATGATCGCAGTGATCGGAAATTGACGGTTAAGAGAGATAACTATGTGAATCCCAAGCGACGAAGGAAGGAAAATCGATAGATCGAGACGAGAATCGGCGTGAAATGTTATCGTTCGCTCAATTCCCTTTGTACATTCGGCCACACTGCCGCGTATTAAAACGTTAATCTCCGGCTGTACTACCGGTTATACGTACTCTTACAGATTGCCTCTCCCTTACTCTTCTTCGTCTCTCTTTCGATTCTGCACGTTCTATCCTCTCTCTCTTCGCTTCACTCCTCTCTGTTGCTCCTTCCTCGCTTCGTCTTTGTCTCTTCCCTTGCTCTCCACTAGCTACTACCTTTCTTTTCTCCTTCCTTCCTCGCAGTACTCGCTTTCTTTATCTCTCTGACTTGTCCTTGTCTTGGAGAGTGTCCTCTTGGTGTTCTTCAAGAGCGCGTGCCAACCGGAGAAACCAAAAAGATGATATCCCGTCATATGAATGCCAATCTTATCTTTTTGTCTTTGTCTTCCGTGAAACTGTAAAATTGTAATGGAATAAAACATAGAGAAATAAGGATATCTTTTGACCTCGATGGAGTATTGGGTTGATGATGACATGCACGGAATCACCGAGTTTCACCTTTTGGCTTTGACAGTTTTTAGATTCCGAACACGATCCTGTCAACTTTTAAGACAGAACGAAGAATGAAAGAAGATTTATCTTTTATTGACGAAAAGATCGATTGCATACTAATTGCGACATCATTAACACGGGAATACAAAATGTTTGATGTTAAAAGATGATATCTTGAACTGAAGATACAAAAAAAAATAAAGAAATTAAATCCATTAATTAATTATAATCGAATTATTACAATGGACCATAGATAATGCCCTTTACAAATATTATATCAATCAGATGATACGATTATATAGATCAACTTCTACCTCGTAAATAGAAAGTAATGTCGAGTTTAGCGAGAAGACGGAAGACCTCGGTTCTGGGATCGAAAAGATGGTGGCAGGGTGGCTGCTGGGCGACCAGGAGCCACCAGGAAGCTTATCTCCGTAAACTTTACGCCAGGAAGAACGATCAAGTTAACAAAATAGATGATGAATCCGCCATTCGAAGAGACCTATCCACCAATTGGACGTCTGGCGCTGTGTATGAGTTGCCCTCTACCGACGAACATTATCTAGATGCCTTTTTGAGAAATCGTGAAGATGGAAACGAGGAGGATGATGTGGTTGGAGTTGTCGTCGGTTGTCCAGCTTTGGCTGCGGCTAGAACTAGTCCCACGGAGAAGTGCGTGGAATACTTGAACAATGCTCATGATGTCGCGGCGTTTGAAAACGAACGCAGAATTACGGGGGGAGAGCCAGTGGTAGCCGATTGCGGTTCTGTGCATTCGGGTTACGATGTCGCTGTTTCTGCAGAGTGAGTTATTAATCTCGTTTAGAGGGAAAGTTTTTCGTTCGGTAGCCTATTTGATGAAGAATATTGCTTTAGTAATGTTTTCGGCAAAGTGGTTAAATTCTTTGAAAGAGTTGTAGAGAATGTGATTTGATGTTGGATATTTGAGATTTTGTTAAATCAATTGTGAAAGATTTAAAAGTTCAGGAAGAGAATTTTCTTGATGATACTTAATAAATACTTTTAGAAGATTTATTGATTACTTACATTGAGTATATT